TTGGGGGGCCACTATTCAACCCAGTATACACATCTTTTAGGATTTCATATTTCATTCTGGCCATATTCCCTAATTGAACAGTTTCTAGTTTTTTTGCTATTATAAAAAAAACACACGTGGGACATTCATATGCACCTATATTTATATTACATATACTATTATTTCTGTAAGATAGAGCCTTAAAAGTAGAATAACTGGGTCAAAGGGCATGTACATTTTAAATTTTAATAAGTATTACCAGATCGTCTTCATAAACTTGCATATGTTGATCATGACACTGGATACTGTCATTGTTTTGCCAGTTAGAAAACTGAAAAATGGTATTTCATTTTAAGTCACATTTCTTTATTAGTAGTGTTAGATGTCTTTTCCTATGTATTAGAGGCCATTTATATTTATTTTTCTGCTGATTACTTGTTCATATTCTTTGCCCGTTTAAAATTTTTTATCAAATAGGAGTTCGTTGTATATTAGAGAGATTAATTCTTTGCCTCTTATATGCAAATGCTGGTTGAATCTGTCCATGTTTTTTTTTATAATGGCATCTTGATTTGTATCTTGCTTAAGAAGCCTTGTTTTGCTCCCAAAATATAACAATCATCTCATATTTTCCTCTAATTATTTTTAAAATTTTGTTTTATCCATTTATATCTTTAAGTTATCTTGAATTTATATCAACGTATAGTGAAAGGTAGGGATTAAACTTTATTTCCTTCCAAGTAGATAGCCACTTGTCCCAGTATCACTTACTGAATCCATCCTTTCTTCAGTGAACTAAGATTGACCTTTATCACAAATTAAATATTCATACACACGTACTCACATATTCTGGACCTGTTGCCACATTCTTTATTGTTTGATCAAGCTTTCTGTCTGTGCCTTTGTAAGAACATGCATTTGGTTCTCATTATTTGCTGCAGTTGGGTTCGGTAAAGTGCCTGCAAACACTGACTTAGTGAATACTGATCCATTGCCCTTCAGGGAAATACAGTGAGGTTCCTGCAAGCCTCTGGCCACATTATCGTCCACTGATCAGTACATGACCTTATTTGATGTTTCTGTTTAAAAAGACCTGATTTAATACAGATTGTTGATTCGTTAACATTGAACTTAGTCCACAGCACTATAACTCACACCTGAACAAAGTTTCCCTCACACGCATTTTCTCTGTAAGACACATCACAGCCTTCCTGTACCAGGGACACTAAATAGTACTTTAGCACTATGCTCAGGGGCCATTTTGTTTTTATTGTTATTACAAGACTATTTTTTAGAGCAGTTTTAGGTTCACAGCAAAATTGAGCAGAAAGTACAGAGCGTTCCCCTGTACTCCCCCGTCGCCCACACATGCACAGCCTCCCCTGGGGGCCATTTTAAATAGCAAAGTCACCAACGAAAGTGCAAAAAATGGAGTACTAAGTAGATGGTGAAAAGGATACTTGTTTATGGTATGCGATGTGAAGCAAAAAGGCAGAGCAGGGCCTACTTGTACCTGTACCTCAGCTAGGATTTGCTGCTCTGCTCGTCCGTGGATGACTTCACAAGCACTGGGAGTATTGCTTTGGGGATTACAAATAAATTTTGGGAAGTAGGTGAATCCACAGATAGGAATCAGGGAATAGTGAGGATTAACTGTACTATTTTAATTATAGTAGCTTTATAAAATGCTATATTTTTACACCTGGTAAAGCAAAGCCCCTCATTTTTTCTTTTTCAAGAGTTTATTGTCTAGACCTCTTCACAATTCAATAACAGACAAATAACCCAATCTAAAATGGGCAAAAGATATTTTTTTGTCTTTTATGACTGACGTATTTTATTAAGCATAATGTTTTCAAGGTTCATTCATGTTATTCTATGCATCATCTCTTCTTTTCTTTTAAAAATGGGCAAAAGATTTGAATAGACTTTTCTCCAAAAAAGATATAACCAGTATGTACATGAAAAGATGCTTAGCATCATTAGCCAAACAAGGAAGTGCAAATCAAAGCCGCAGCGGGAAGCCACATCATGCCCTTGAGGAGGACTGTAGTAAAACAGATAAGACAATAAGAAGTGTTGGCAAGGAGGTGGTGAAATTGGAACCCTCCTTCACTCCTGATGAGAATGTAAAATGGCACAGCTGCTTTGGAAAACAGTCTGGCAGCTCCTCAGAAGGTTAAACACAGAGTTACCACATGACCTAGTAATTCCACACCTAGGTATGTACACAAGCGAAGTGAAAACAGACGCCCCCGAGAAAACCTGTGTGTAGATGTTCATAGGAGCATTATTCATAGTATCTGCAAAGTCGAAACCACCCAAATGTCCAGCAACGTGTGATTGAATAAACAAAACATATGTTGTATATGCATATAATGGAGTATTGCGCGACAATAGGAAGGAATGAAGAACTGAGACGTGCTAAAATACGGCTGGACCTTGAAAACGGTCCTGCCCCCCTTATGCCTCACTTAGGGAGAGGCTGGAGCCCTCCATTGTCCTGTGAGCAGTCCAAAGTGAGGATCCTCAGGTCCACCATCTGCCCAGTGTCTGACACATTAGGCTCTTAATACACATTATCTAACTCTGTTTGCCTGAGGGGAGTGTTCTCCATAGATTTTAAACAGTGACCATACTTTGTATTAGGTTGTCGGAAAAGTCATGACGTATTTTTCTGTTTTTCGTTGCAAAAATGTGTCATGACTTTTCCGACAGTAATTTATTTGTATTACCCAGGAGTTAATTTGGGTGGGGTAGAGTATTGCCTGTTGCTATTTTCACAGCCCTACCCCACCCCACCCCGCCTTCACCAATAAGAAACTGACGGGATTCTTTCCAAGTTATATTAAATTTATGTGAATGTTTTTGGGTAGATTTGACATCTTTATGATATTTAGTCTTCCCATCCAGGATCATGGTATGATATGTTTATTTATTCAGGTCTTTCTTTATGTCCTTCAGTAAAATGTTATAGTTTTACCGTGTTAAATTTATTGCTAGTTATTATGAACAAGGTCATTTTCCATTTCAGTTTTTAAATGATTATGGCTGGTGAGCACTATTTATGTTTATGTGTCTAGATATCTATAGTATTGTGCCACCTTATTAAATTATCTTGCTTTCTTTTTCTTTCTTGATTTTCCTTCCCTGGGTTTTCTTCCTCCACTTGTTTTTCAAGGCATCTCTACCTGGAAATCTCAAGAATATCTAAAGCTCAGAATAAAACTAAACTAAGTTGCAATTAAAATAATCTCTCCTTATGTTCAGAACTGCTTGCTACTAGCCTGTGAAGCACCTTTGTATAAATTCAAAAGAGGTGCCCCTTTCTCCTGACACTTTACTCCTGTCTCCTGAGAAAATTGTTATAATTAACTGATGCAGTTAGACTGTGACATGTTACTGCAGGACAGTGTCATAAATCTGCAGCTCTCCGATGTCTTCTATGTTGGTGCTCCCTTAGACGAGGAGCTCTTGGTCAATGTCAGTCACACAGACATCCTCCGCAGTGTTATTTAGGTCTATAGATTGTTCATCACTGCCGCTGGAATCACCCCTTTCTTCCCAAGCCCACTGCCTCAGTTTAGACTCTCATAGTAGGTCACCTCTCATCACAGTACAACAACCCCCGCACCCCCCCCCCACACACACACACACACAGAGGACAAAAACAAAAGATAACCGGGCCTCCTTCTTCCCAGCCTCTCTCTTCTCGGACACCCTAGTCACAACCCAGAATAACCTTCCTGACGCATCCGGGAACCCTTGCTCGCAGGTCTTTGATAGTTCCTTGTTTTGCTCCCAGGAGAGTCATTGTGTTTCCACCCCTAGGAGTCCCCATTACCTTCTCCTGGGCAGCCACTATTCTCTAATCGCCCCCCTCCAACTCCACGCAGCTTCTGTGCCCTCTGCATCCCCCCCCACACACACACCCTGCTGCCTTGGCGATTCCTATTGCCTGTCTCTCTCGGTTTGCTCATCTGTAAAATGAGAAGAGAGTGATGCCTCCTCAGTAGTCAAGTGGTAAAAAGGAAGCCATGCAGCATGTGGAAATGACTTGTGCAGGGCCTGGCACTTGGCGCTCTAGCTCCCCTCCCCCTGCCTTCCCCTCTCTCACAAGCACTTTGGAAACTGTGATGCTATATGATTGCAATGTGGTGTTATGACTATGTATGCCTCATTGTATGTCCAGTACCCAGAGTGCTTTTATTTTGGCAAGAATACATCCTATTTGGCCTCCATAAGGAACATTTGAACATATTCCAGACAAAAAAGTATAACTTTGCAGCTTCCGAGTATCACTGAAACAGGTATCACGAAAGGGTTTTGGCTGCCCCTGGAGGCTCCCAGTGAGCGCGGTGGGAGAAGCCCCGCGCAGATCCAGGGCGCGGCAGTAGTCCTCTGGTGGGCAATCTGCCGACGGGGAAACAAAGGTCTATCTGCCAGGGGTGGAGGGTGCCTGGGAGATGTGCTGAGAACAAACGCAGTCCTTTTCTGATGGGATTTCCCACCCTCTAATACTGCTGCCATAGGAAACGGGAATGAGTATTATACTTGCCACAGGCCACAGAAAATCTTTTCTGGTTAAGAGGCAGTTTCCAAGTGTGTTTATTGGTTTGAAGAATTGGCTTCATTTCAGCCACATTTGGTTGTATGTTGTCTTTCGTTCTAGGCGCTCTCCTGATTTGGTTTCCATAGGGTTTTAATCAAACCATCTGGTGAAACATTTTGGATTCATATTAAAGTCTGTCACAAACACATATCTCAGAGAACACACATAAATCCTAGAATGGAACAAAAAGCAAACAAGAAATCATGCAATAACAGTATAAACAGAACAGTGTCAGAGGGCAGGAATCGAGGGAAACGGAGAAGGGCTGGGTAGAAACAGCGAGTTGGTCCCTCAGAGAAGGACCAACCAGGGAAAGGTGTCAGGGAGCCGATCAGCACTCATATCAGGGAGGCACTGGGTGGGCATTCTTCCATTTCTGACCAACCTGCAGTCTTTGGGGGTAGAAACCATGGCTAGTAACCCCTCTCCTCTTCTGAACTGGGATCGAGTGCTGTCTGATGGGCAGATACAACTCATTTTACTCCAAACCTGGGCCCCTGAAAATCCTGTCTCTCCACCCCTTCTCCCTGCACCCTTTTCTCACTCTCCCTTCCCAGTCATCCCGGCCTCCAGCACACACCCAGAGTATTGGAGAGGACACGCAGTGGGACTCATCACTGATGGTGGGACCCCCCCCCCCACTTTCTGCCTGCCCCTCCTCCCGTGTGCTGTACACGGTTTACAGTGGAAGAACTACCCTCCAACCCCATGTCACTGAATATCTTCTCCAACTGTTCAACTTTATTTGTTGATCTTAAAAATTATTTTCCATAAAATGTAGAAGCGTATACAGAGGAAAGTACCTCTTCTTCCCACCCCTGCCCCCCGGGCCCTCTGCTTCCCCCTCAGAGGCTACTTTCATATGTACCTTTCAGAGGTCACCAGTGCTTGTCATTGCTAGCTTCTAAAATTTATTACTTCCCTTTCCATGTCGTTGCTGGGGCTCCTGGATTTACCTGCTGTGTTCTTCCTGTGTCTGCTTCCTCCACATCCCTCCCTCTCTCAGACTTTGGCCTCTGGACAAATGATCATGAGCAGAATGAGTCGGACCCCATCCCTGCCAACTGCACTGGTTGTGCCCAGAAATTACCCCTCGAGGTAGTGCTCCTGGAAGATACCCCGAAGAAATTCGAGGGACTCCATCCTCTGGTGATCAAGGTGAGCGAGAATCCTGATTCTCCCACTGCCTGGTTAGTTACCCACTTAATGGCTAGAAAACTTCAAGCTCTAGGACATTCCCGATACGTAACTCTGTGTCGTATTGTCTTGCTTTTGTTTTTGGCCTTGCCAAGACGGAACAGTCCCTTTCATCTGAGGAGCTTCATCGTTTTTTGTGCCAGTACCCTGAGGCCACAGAAGGCTTTGTGGACGGTTTTTTCACCAAGTGGTGGCGCTGCTTTCCTGACCGGTGGTTCCCATTTCCTTATCCATGGTGAGTGTGAAAAGGAGCTCTAGCCTGCAGGTGTGTAGAAAGCGGCCGACCAAATATCAACACAGTGATGGCTACCACTGAGACCCGCCTGTGCCACCTACTGTGTAAGCACTTTGCAGTGCACCGTTGGAGTCAGATGATACACTTAGAAGCTCACTGTGGAAAAACCAGTGGGAGAGGAAGGTGACAAGTGGAAGAGAAGTGTCAGGAGAGGCGCACCGTGGGGGGGACACCAGGATTGCCTAGTAGAATCATAACCTATTTCTAAGTATGTGTTCAGCATTTCTGTTGGTGCAGAATGGGTCCTGAGTATTGCGGGCTGAAGCGAGCACGCAGAATAGAAGGGAAACGTCATTTCCAGGCACTTGTTTGTGCCAGGCTGCATTTAATGCCTTGTTGTTCAGTGGTGACATTCATAATAGCTCTGGGAAGTAGGAATTACCATTGTCATTTTTCAGTTCAGAAAAGTAGGAAACAGAGAGGTTAAGTACCTTGCTTAGGGTCACCCAGCCAGCACTGAAACCCAGGTCTGTCTCCCTTTCCTTCCTGTGTCCTGTAGAAGACATGGTCCATTTCTTGGGGTGCTCTGTAGAAAGAAAAGGAAAGCCCGTTTCCATCTAGAGCCGTTCCAAAAGAGAATTGCTTTGTCAGGCTTTTTGGTTGGATAATTACTTGATGCTTCTGCCCCTCTTTAAATTTGCTGTTTCTTTGCATGATCAAATACGCAGTTTAACAAGCTAGTCAGGCTTCCCACTGCGTGCCGTTCTGCCTCAGAAGGAAGGGTGCCTTCTTCTTTCTCCCTTTGTCTCTTCTCCCACTTGGCTTGTTATTATTCAGTCTCTTTTCCAAGATAGAATGAATGAATGGATTGTTTCTTTCCTTCCTCTATATGTTGTTTTAGCTGGGTTTTATAAACACCCCACCCACATGCACAGATCGTGGCTGTAGAGTTTATGTGTGTGCATACATGTTACAGTTAATTGAGTTGGCATGACTGTTCTTCATGGAACTAATACTTAAGATACTGCCCTGAGACCCACCCCCACAGTTTCCCCATACTTGCTTAGCTCTGTGTTACCCATAGTGGCCGGCTTGCCCATTTTAATTACTTTTTTTTCTTTCAAACTCTTACAGGAGAAGACCTCTGAACAGATCACACATTTTACGTGAACTTTTTCCTGTGTTCACCTACCTGCCATTTCCAGAAGATGCCTCCTTAAAAAAGTGCTACTTTCTTCAATCAGAATCTATTGTGGGAAGTAAGGTAGGAAATTTTGAGAGGACTTAGATCTAGAATTTTTCTCACTTGGGACCGGGGCTGATGTCATAATCATGGTGTTCCCTGCACATCGACCTGGAGGGTGAATTGAAGGGATACCCGCAGAACCTAAAGTTCTCTCTTCCTGTTATAGCCAGGAGGCCTGCAGGGGCCCACCTTTTACAAAGGCATGCTTACAGAATGTCTAGTTATCTTGACAGCCTACCTCCTGCAAGCTACTTTTCTGCATTAAAGTATGTAGAATCTTAAAAATTTGAAGGGACCTGAGCCTGTAGTTAGTCTGACTTCTCTACCTCAAAGTGGAAAGCAGGCAAATTGTAGATGAAGAGTACGTAAATGAATAGTTCAACTTTCTCACTTTGTAGATAAGGAAACAGCCCCAGCGAAATTAAATGATCTGCCCAAGGACACAGCAAATTAATAGGAGGGCTCTCCCCATCCCCTGTTCCCCTGTTGCCCTTCCCCACAAATAAATGAGGAACTTCAGCTATAGAGTTGGAAAAGCTTGGGAGCCTGGAGACATTTTGGAACAAAAGGGTGGACAGGCGCATGCCCAAATCAGGCAGGTCAGCTTCTCACATCCGCCCAAGGCCAAGTACCCAAAGCCCCATTCACTCCTCTGCGGCCAGCAGACTGGACTGGTCAAAGCCGCTCTGTGTTTGTGTCTGTTTACTTTTCTCTGAATTGCTCTTTTGTTGAGGCTCATTCCTGAGGAAAGTGTTTGAGCCCTGGATCGCTTTAGAAGAATTAAATTTTCCTTTGTAAAAAAAATTTAATTTCCCAAACCGTGACCCTTACCAACTCTGGGTTGTGTCTTCAGCCTCCTGATACTATTGGCTCCAAATGTGCTGAATCAAGTTAAAGGAATTTCAAAGCCTAGAAAAACAGTCACAGTGTCTAGAAGTCAGCGCTTCTCTCCGCCAGCAGTAGGGTGGAGGTGCTGGGCTCTGGCCTCAGGTTTTGAAAGACGTTTATCCTGCTGTTCCCGACTAGAACTCGGAGCCGTAGTTTGATTTCATCTTCATAATGATGACATAATTCTGGGCAAGGTCCTTTATCTTCATCTCAGTTTTCCCACTTGCATCTGAAATTAATTTCACCAGCCTGCTTAGCAGGGACACCAAGGAGCCCAGCCAAAGGGATAAACAGGGTTACTCAGACGCCTATCAGAGCCGTCTTGTTATGGTTCTCAAAGATGTTTTGGGAAGGGGCGTGGTCCAATAGGCGAAAATCCTGAGAGTCTGGTTTCTTGCAGAGTCTGTTCCCCACCCTGGCCCAAGCTCTGCTTTCTCCATAGCCTGTTACTCCACCCTGTTGTCCATGTCCCTGGACCCTGGGCCCTGGTGAAGTAACATATCTGGGGCTCAGGATGCAAGAGACAGCCTTGGGCTAGAAGATGAGAAGCGGGGATCTGATCGTTCAGAGACACTGGGGGAAGAGGTAGGGGCTCCGAGGCCCACCTCACACAATCCACAGTGTTGCCTAGAGCCGGCCCACTCTGTGTTGTCTGTTTCTTCCCATGCTGGGTGTGGAGGAACATGGTTTACCACCCCCACCCCCAGCCCCAGGCTTATATGAAACATACATCCATGTGGTTTTGGTCTTCTGGGATTTTTTCAGGACTGCCGATGTCAGGACTTCTGCTGGTATCAGTACCAGTCAGTTGCAGGTCAGCTCAAGACACTAGTTAGTCCTCCCTAGTCCTTCTTCTGTCACTGCAGCCACAATTAAAATGGCTCTAGTGTTGCCATGGGAACAGTCATGACCAGGGCCTGTGGGAGCAACAGAGAGACCCGTGTTGGGGCCAGGAGAAGATGGGGCCACAACCCACAGCTCTGGAGGCCCCGAGTGGTGAAGAGAAAACCAAGTCATGGCCCAGGGCGTCAGACCCCGGCCTTACCTGGTCTTAGAAAGGTTTCCCCGCGGCGCAGGGGCTGGGAGGGGAGGCCCCAGGCGTTCTCTCTCACTCTGTAGGTAGGAAGAGAAGGCTAAGCAATGACGAGCTTACCCTCTGGCTTTGTCCCTTCTCCCTGCCCCATATTAACTGCAGGGTTCTAGCTCTGCCTGGCACACAGCATGTCACACTTGATGCCTGTTGGTGGCAATAGTGCCCCCTCAGAGGGGCAGTAGTTGCCTATGCAGGTGCATATCTTGCTTGTCGCCTTAGTTTCAAAATCAGAATCCAGTTTTACTATCATTAGCTTTTTTTTTTTTTAAAGATTTTATTGGGGAATTGGGAAAGGGGAATTGGGGAAGGGGAACAGCCAAGTTGTTATCCTTCAGTTTTAGTTGTGGAGGGTGCAGCAAGCTCAGCTCCAAGTCCAGTCACCATCTGGCTATCCGTTGGCAGCTTGTGTCCACTCACCTTAAGGTGCTGTGTTCAATCTTAGTTGCAGGTGGGCATAGCCCACCACCCCATCCGGGAATCGAACCGGCAACCTTGTTGTTAGGAGCACGGGCTCTCACCAGCTGAGCCATCCTGCCACCTGTTGGCAGCTCAGCGGCAGCTCAGCTCGGGTGCACCTCACTGGCCCATGTGGGAATTGAACCGGCAATCCTGTTGCTCAGAGCTTGCACTCTTAACCAACTGAGCCACTAGGCCAGCCCTGTCATTAGCTTTTAATCAGTAGCATGACATCTGCTCATCGAGGTCTTACCAGAAAGTGTAAAAACTTGAACTTGCCACTGTTCAATTCTCATCAAAACCCTGGCAGTAAGAAAGAATATTCCATGGAACATTTCCCAAAGGATATGGAGACCATCTATTTCTCTCAAAGTCTGAACCAAACCAGACCCTCAGAAGATTGCAGACTTAGACTGCCATGTGTTAGCCCTTGCTAGACTTCTGTTAGTTGCAGTGAGATATTTGCCTTGGCCTACTTTGAAGCTGTGGCTAGATATAGTTGGGAATTATGAAGCTCATGCGTTTCTGCTATAGAGCTGTTATTGAGGGTGTCACCCACTAAATCACACAGTGTCTCGTTAAGAGAAGCCATTGAAAGAGATTTTACCCTGATCTCAATACTGGGAGATGCCATGTTTTGGAGAAACTAGTTTGTTTTTGTCTTTTGGATGTAATCATGAATTATATTACTGGTTCTGTTTTGTTTTTTTTCTCTTAGGCTGCTAGGAAACTCGGCCGTATATGTATGGATTTTTGTCTATGAATCTCTCATGCCCCTGGATTTTATTGTTTTTCTTTTCCTTCCTTTTCTCTGCCCCCTCCCCCCTTTTCCTCCAGATGCATAGGATGCATGACCTGTTTGCCATCGGCCGCGGTGAGGCCATGTTGCAGCTCATCCCTCCCTTCCAGTGCCGAAGACACTGTCACTCTGTGGCGATGCCACTAGAGCCAGGAGATGTCGGTAGGTGGGGCCCCAGGAGGGCAAGGTCAGCCACAGGATCTTTCTAGTTTTCACTCAGAAAATATTGTAAGAATTAAGTATTGCCTTCATAAAGACTCAATGGAGTAAAAAAAATAGCCTTTTTTAAATTAACAGAGTCAATATTTATGCTTCGATGGAACAAATATTGAGAAAATAAAGCAGAGAGAAATGTCTTGTGTATACACTTAGAATGTGTGTGTCCATTGGCCTTAGAAATTCCAAGTTAGAGGGATTATGGAGAATATTTCGAGCAATCTTTTATTTTACAGATGAGGCGATTGAGACCCAGAGAGGGAAGGTGACCATTCCAAGTCCTCACCATCAGTTAGGCAAAGAATCAAGTCTTAAGTGTCTTGTATAACAAGAGTCAAGCCAGGGGAGGTACAATTCCAGATTTGAGGAAACCCTTTCTGTGTCCACTTTGCTAATGAAATAGTGAGAGCCGTATGTAAGGGCAGCAGCCACACAAAGAAATCGGACCTTCCGTGTGGCTCCCGCAGCCAAGTGACAGCCCCACAGTCATGACTCACCCTTGGCTCCATGATTTCCCAACTGTGACTTGTTTTGTGCGTTATATTCTAAAAAATCTGTTCCAGAAAAACAGGTTTAAAGCAACTGCTGTTAGTAGCAGTCAGTTTGCAGAGTTTTCTTGGCGGAAGCAAATAAATCAGCAAGCATTACCATTGCCTCCCTTGTTTTCCCAGCCTCACACCACCGAGGGGAGGCCCCGGCAGAGCCCCGTTGATTTTCACATTGATTTTTTTTTCATTTGTCTGTTCAGAAAACCCCAATCCCTAGAAACCTGTCACCTCATTTGGAGGAAGGATGCAGACCACAAACTGTGCCAAGGTCTGATCCAAGTTACATAACTTTTGTTTCAATTTAAAAATGAAAAAATAAAAATGCACAAATTAAACATTAACTGATAATGGAGCCCAGTGGGCCCGGCCCTTGGCAATTACTGCAAAAAGAAGATTCTTGTGTAGAAATTGCTCTGAACCTATTTTCCATGAGGTGTGACTGTCGCACGAGTCTGCATGGCCTTTGGGTTGGGAGTGTGTAGTTGTGCTTGAAAAAGTGTCTGTGTCTTACAAATGACTGACAGTTCCGACAACTTCAGGAACACCTTCATTATCCACATTCCAGGTTTCCAGCCCCCACCAGCACCTAGAAGGCCAATCACAGAATTAGGGGGGAAGAACAATATGGGGGACTGGCAGCGATCAAAGAAGCGTTGAGCATGCAAGTCGGGTGGGGATAAGTCCAAAATAGCCTAAAACCCAGAGCCTGTCACACGCCATGCTGTGACTGGCTGGTCTGCTGACCAGAAGGAAAGGAACCCTGTAGTTGGCAATGCCCACCAGCCACACAACAGGAAATGGGGGGAAGTGACAGGAGATGGGAGAGAACACAAGGAAGGGGGCAAGTCTGGGAGAAGGACGGGCAGGGAGGGGTGGGGAGAACCTGAAGCAGGGGCAGGAATGGAAGGGTGTCTGCAGCTGCCACCGTTCCAGGTGAGGACAAAACAGCAGACCCTGACAGTGGAGGAGAATAAGTGAGTGGCGGAAGGACAGATGGCAGCTCCAGCACGTCAGGGGCCTATACAAATGGCTAGGTGGCAAGCAGGTTCTGTGTTTTTTTTACTAAATAAGCATTGTCCTGTGAAGGTGGAGGGAAAGAGGACAGGGTTACAGGCCACCAGTAAACCTGTGAGGGGAGGCGTTTCCAAGAATGATGTAGGGCCGGGCGCTCGTGAGCCCACACATCTGCCAGGATGGTGCAGTCACTGCTCATACAGACTTTTCTTGAGGTTAAATTCTATTTAATGCTCTCTGTTTAAAGATGAGTAGGTACATCATACTCTAGGATAATTTCCATCAGGAGATATTGAAGTGTTAAAGTTTTTTTTTTTTTAATTCAAGTTTATTGGGGTGACAGTTGTTAGTAAAGTTACATAGGTTTCAGGTGTACAATTCAGTAATACATCATCTGTATATCACATTGTGTTTTTACCACCCAGAGTGAGTTCTTCTTCCATCACCATATATTTGATCCCGTTTACCCTCATCTTCCACGGCCCTCCCCCCTTACCCTCTGGTAACCACTGAACTATTGTCTGTGTCTATGTGAAGTGTTGAAGTTTTTAAGTTTATCTTCCTAGCCCACTCAAATGATACAGACCAGTGTTTCCCGAATAGTTCTCCAGATGATTCATGACCTCTTAGAAAGGCAAATAGGGCTCTTTGGGCCAGTTGACTTGGAGAAATACTTGTCTTGTCAGTACATAGCACAATTAGTGTACAGAAGGCCCCCCCAAAGCCTTCGAGGAACCTAGCATATGTCAAACTTACTTGACCATGGAACCCCTTTTCCTTGCACTGTTTTACTGGATGCTACTGTTTGCAGATCACAATTTAGGAAATGCTGGTTTAGGTTAATGTGGGTTCTGAAATGAGGCCATAGTGTAGATAACCTCGGGAGAACTGGCTGGTGCAGCGGTTCTCAACCTTCCTAATGCCGCAACCCCTTAATACAGTTCCTCATGTTGTGGTGACCCCCAGCCATAAAATTATTTTCGTTGCTACTCTATAACTGTAATTTTGCTACTGTTATGAGTCGTCATGTAAGTATCTTTTTGTTTTCCGATGGTCTTAGGCGACCCCTGTGAAAGGGTCGTTCGACCCCCAAAGGGGTCGCGACCCACAGGTTGAGAACCGCTGGGCTAGTGGGTCCCACTTCCCGTCAGAACCCCTTCTGTCTTCTTGCTGAGAAAGGAGACCAGCCTGAGAAGCGATGCCCACCACCAGCCTGAGCATCCTGCCCGCTGAGTTGTAACTCACAGGTACCCAGGTGACGGCTGGTGATGAGGCACTTTGGTTCGGAGTGGTTCCTGTTAGATGTCCAGTTACAGAGAGGACTGATAATAATGGAACACTTATGCCCAAAAGAGCTCAAAAACCTTCAGAGCAAGCTTTGCCTGACTCTGCAGGCGTGCCCCAAGGTCAGCTCTGGCAGACCTGCCTTGCTCATGCGCACAGGTGTGCCCAGCCCCTGATATTCACATGCTTCCGTTTTGCTGTTTCCCTTCAAGTCTATGCAGGTGCCACCCACTGGAAGGTCTACATTGTAGCCAGAGGGGCCCAGCCTTTGGTCATTTGCGATGCAACCACCCTTTCAGAGCCATAAGAAACAACTATACAGAGGAACAGCTTTGCAAGCTGAAGACCAGACTGAAAGGAGGAAATAAAGACAAAAACGAGGAAACCACTTTCCAGGGATTGGTTACTTAGCTCCCTGCCCTGTGCATGAATGTGTGAGCCCACTGTGTGCTGTAGGCTGGCCCTCCCGACTCTTCCAGCCCCACTGCGTGGCCACGACTTTGCCAGGACCCACCTGGGAGAGACTGTCCTGGCACCACAGCCTAGAGGCTGCCCTTCAGGCAGGGGGCAGGGTTGGCACCTCCCCTCACTGCATGGCATGCTGCCCTCTGCCGACTCCCTGGCCACAGAGAGGGCAGCCCACAGGTCCTGACTCCAGGGCCATCCTTTACCACCTGGGCCTGCGTGGCCTGTCTTCCTGGCCGCACCACCCGCGACTTTTTCAGGAAAGCCATGGCTGATGAAAGAAGTCGTTACAGTTTCCCAAGCAGAGTGGAGCCTTAACCGGTGAGAAAAGATCCGACAACCTTCGATTGCACTCAGGAGGTGCACTTCTTTCCCAGGGTCTGTGTCTTGGAGTCGTTGAGTGATGCCAGGCTGGAGCCTGACTACAAGTGAAATGGTCATTCCTAAAGTAGTAACTTCCCTCCATTTACCAGGTTCTTATGACACACACACACACACACACACACACACACACACACACACCTTCCTCGCCTGTCGGGTGGTTGCTCAGCAGCTGGGCTCCGGGTCCCCCCTCCCTGGGCTGGGCCAGACCCCTTTACTGATGCGGCTGCACCGCTCCTGTCAGCTGTGTTGCTTTTACCAAGTGTCTTTGGAGCGGGGTGAGTTAGGGTGCTGGTCTGTAAAGAGGGAGCCGCCCCAGGTCAGATCTTTAGGGTCTGACTTTCTGCAGAAAAGATGTTTTACAGATGTGTCAAGCTGATGTAATATGGTTGGGGAAGGAACTCCAGACCCAGAGTGTTTGCCAGCTGGGTGTGCGACTCTGTGATCCTCTGTCTTAAAATGGTCTCTTTGTGCTAGGAAACAAGGTGAGGTGTTTTGACTTTTTGTAATAATGTAGAGCTGTGTCCTTTGAGTAGGTAATTCACTATGCTCACTGTTTCCCTGAAGTGTTTTTAGCATGTGTGACTCAGTGGTGAAAAAGGACACTCTTGTTTCCTTTTCTTTTATTAGTCCTCTACCGACACTGCTAGATACCCGGCCTCTGGTCATGCCATCACCAGGATGAAGAAAAAACAAGCCACCCTGTGGCCCGTGGTTCTGAATGGCAGAAATCAAGTGGACACAGGAGGTGTCTGTGTTAGTGTGATGGCCCAGAGACAGACAGTGGTGAGGGGCACGGGTGTGACTGCTCACGGGGTCCTCTTCATCGTTGGGGGCACCCCCGCATCTGTCCCCAGGCCCCCTTTCTCTGCACACCTCCTGAGCAGCAGTGGGGATCACTGGGCGCCTGAACCGCCTGTTCGTAGGCTTGGAAAGGACAAGCAGGGTTCATAGAACTCAGGGCGGAAACACGCAGAGCCGCCTCCGCGGGACTGAATGAAACGCAGATGAACGGGACCTGAGGGAATTCGTCCTTAAAAGAATCGGCGCCTTGTGTTGGTCAGTGCAGGGAAAACAAAGCCTCTTGTACATATAAACGTCATGCTTGCTAAACAGTTAGGATTTAAGAGGTTTTCCGTCAGCGGGATCATTGAGAGGCCAGCTTTGTGCACGCTTTTCAAGCCCTTGCCATGTGCTCGTGCCTGTGCACACGGGGAAGAAGCGTATGTGAACAGGTTCTTCCGAGGCCTCTCAGAGTTGCCCTGAGTCAGGCCCCTGTGGGCTAAGGAGAGAGGCTGCCATGGGAGCAAAACGGCTCCTGGTGGTTTGAGATTCCTCTTTCATTTTTATGAATTACCATGTTCCTTCTCCATTTCACTCCTGCCCTCTACACCTTAACTGCTCATAAGATACCCACTTCAGCTCAGAACTTTGAAAATGAAGAAACCCTGGCATATGTTGGTGTCCGAGGCACTCCCCCAGCCCCTGAGCTGTCTCCAGTTCAACAAAGAATGGTGTGGCAGCAGAGAAATGGGGACTTCTGTGCATATACTACTCCCTTTACTTAAAATCGGTCCAGTTCAGAATTGAAGGTAGATTGATGTTAGCAGAGAAATTCTCCGAAGAGAGTTTTCTGCTCCTAATGACTGGATACATAGAAGTGATTTGCCTTCTGGAGGTAATCTGATAAGCTGACCCTACCAGTGACCAGTCCTACAGGAGTGGCCTGGGCTTGCCAGCCAGTCCCTTTCTGGTTGTCCACGGCTTCGTGTGATGTGAGGGTGCTGCGGGATTTCCCCTGCTCCCCTCGTTCTCCACTCTCTGGAAGCAGCAGAAGACCCTCCCACATGTGGGAAAGAGGGTCATTGATGAGGAAGGGTCGGGGGGCGTGGTGGGACCACCTGACCAGCTCCCCACTCCACCTCTACCACCACAATAACAAAACCACAGGGCTCTCCAAAGAGGGACTTGCTCACGAGTTTGTTGAGTGTTTACTAAGAGGTGACGTGTGACCTCCACACATGGCTTAGCTTCACTGTTTTATAGGTTCCCAGAGCAGAGACTCGTGTCCCCAGAAATCAGCTCTAAGGGGAGAAAGGCCGCTTGGGCGCCAATGAGAGCATTTATGTGCAGACGGCTGAGGTCTCAGGAGGCGAGTGTGAGACAGACATACACCTGTTCTGGCTTTTGAAAAGAGGCAGAGCTTAGCCTTTCCCCACTCCCATTTTTTTAGGGAAGTGAAAAAAGTAATACAATAATGGTTAATGAAAACAATCTACCTATTTGGTGATATACAAAGCAATCTATGAAACTGGCAGACTTGGGCTTATTTTTTTAGGAGAACGGAATAATAACATTTGTGGAGCCCACGGGCTTCTTTAATCTTTGCTCGGTCCTGTGCAGTAGGTGTTAGATCCTCATTTTACAAGTAAAAAGACAGGGCTTAGGACAGTTCAATGCTGGTCAGTAAGTAGTTGGTTCTGCAGCCTATTATTTTCCTGCCTCAGCCCAGTGTGGTGCCCAAAAGCTAAAATGGTTTACTCAACTTGGGTGAGCCCTCACTGGTGTCGGAGAACCTAAGGGTAGGGTCAGCAAGCCAGGAACTCTTCAGGGTTTGTTTTTTAAACTGTTTTGGACAGAAATGGAGGAGGAGAGCATCTAATCAGATGACTTTTATAAAAAGCCTTTTCCTTTTTCTCTCCCCATTTGAAAACTCTTGTTCAGAAAGAGTGTGGCTGGAACAGAACCGTGTCCAGCCATTTTCCCATCGCTCCCCGTTTCCAGATGTGTGACCAGAAGAGGGACTCTGCCCAATTCCAGTTGTGGGTCCCGTTGGAGTTTACATCACTTGTTTTTCAGTTCTTGGTTTCCTATTCTCCTCTCCCCAAATCCAGCATAGGAACAATTATTTTAAAACAAAATCTCAAGTTCCTCAGCTGCAGGTGGTGGCCTGGGTCATTCTAATGTCGTCTGGATGAAAGTTTGCTCATTAACCAGTGGCTTCCATCGCAAACACTGAAAACCCCGAAGCAGATGATCGCTCCTCATGGAATCCTTGCCCAGCAGGAGGAAGCCAAGTTTTAGGGGGGAGAGAGGAAAAGCTGCATGTCTGGGTGCACGGGCTGAGACAATCTCGTCTGCCTTCTGAGAATCAGTTATTAAACAGAGGGGTCTTTTAAGCTTTGGGATTCCCCTAGTGATGGAGGAGAAACTCTCCTGGGTTCACAAGTTCCACACTCGTGAACTTCCAGTGGCGACCCATCACCTACTAAATTGATTGACAGAAGGGAGCACCAGAGATGTGCCTTGACCCAGCAAGTTGGCTGAGATCCTCTCCGTGTTTGGACCTGTGCATATTGTGCACAGAGATCACGCATGTCAGGGCCAGGAAGCTAGGAAGGTGAGCTTTTTATGGAGAGAACCCTGAAAAATGGGGGGCTCTGGGAATGTGCTGTGTCCCCATCAGCACACGTATCCCTGGCCGCCTACCCCCAGTCTCCTGATACCCAGCAGCTTCTCCCCCAACAGGATCTCAGACAAGATGGACAGGTACTCCCTCCTGTGCATCACACCCAGGCCTGCCCACCCTGGACGGTGGCTTTCAGTGCTGGCCTTGGTGAGAAACCTCCAGCCAACTTGTCTGCCGTCCAGGCCACTCAGCGCCTGGTTTCCCTGCCCTGCATAATTTAAGCATTAGAGCTAAATACATCGGTCATCTTCCTTCCTCTGGAGACGCGAAATGTCCAGGCCTTGTCAGAGCAGAAGAAATGTTACATAACTCCAGCCAGAGGTCTGGTACTGTCCAGACACGGCGGGGCTGGCCCGTGGAGGCATTCCTCCTGCGCCGAGCGCGTCTGTCACTCAGTCAGCCGGCGTCCATCCAAGAGTGAGCCACAGCTGCGAGCAGCCATGCAGAGAAGGAAAACCAGTTGAGCTTTTGGAGTTTCAAACAAATTGGGGGAGTTGGGACATCTGCTTTATGCCAGGCTTAATTTCCCTCCTTATTCTCATAGCAACTCTATGGGGGCGATAAGGTCATCTATGAAGCCACCTTAACTCGCAACTCAGCAGTGTCCCAGCTTTGAAACTTCAGCCCCTCAGAGCACTTGCAAACGTTTTGACGAGCCAGCGGACACTTACCTATAAGAATTGGGGACAGGATCAGACAGAAATATGGCATTCTCAGAGAACCCCCAGTCTTGTAGGTGAGGTGCTCTTGGAGATAACCCTGTAGCGAATGAAAAGTGGGGGGCTCTGGGATGTGCTGTGTCCCCGTCAGCATGTGTATCCCCCAACACCACACCCCCATCTCCTGATAATCCAGCAGCTTTTCCTCCAAACTTCTTTCTATATAGTTTCACCCTCAGAAAAATGCTGGTTGTGGCCTCTCCCTCCGTGCTACGGGAAGGTCAGGGACAGGCTGGGGGAGAAGCGTGGAGAGGCAGAGGTGAGCCAGGGGCTCTGCTCAGCCTCCTGCCTGCTGTCATCAGGCACGGGAGCCGGACAGCTGCAGTCCATCTTCAGGGAACCAGGGGGGTG